TAAAAACCAATCTATGGGTTTAACGCCTCCGGATATTTTTGTACCAGAAATACGTACAATATCAACTATCCCTGCTGACAAAGTCTGGTGCCCAGTGCGGGCTCTTAAATGGTACATCAGCCAGACCAAGGCACTATGTGAAAGGACCTCACAACTGTTCCGCACCATGAGGCTTCACGTGACATCATTGCTCGATGGATAGTGTCAGTGATTAACTTAGCGAACCCACATTGGCCTTCGACAGATGAGGGTTCATATAAACAGAAGCCACATGCTCATGAAGTGCGAGCACTGTCAACATCATTGGCTTTCTTCAGGGGAGTTTCCCTAGAAGAAATCACAAAAGCAGCATGTTGGAAATCTTCTTCCACGTTCACATCCTGCTACCTCAAAGATGTACTCCAAACTGAGGGCGTACCAGGCCGGACAGTCCTGTCAGCAGCCATGGCCTCATCAAAAGGGAGCATGACGAGAGACGAAACCTCCTAGAGCATCAGGAGTACCTCCCTTGTGGTGAGTTTGTATTCTCTTAGAAAGAAGGTTCACTAGTCCACGAGAGAACACAATTCACCCATATGCGCCTCGCACCCTCCTCCAGATATCGGTGCTATTCTATGCAAATGTAGTTGCTATTTGGGTAAGATGAACGAAGTAGACTCCCCCCCCCCCCCCCACAGTCGTGTGGGACTAGTCTACGAGAGAATACTTACCCAAATAGCATCCCTCCCACACTCTAAGCTCGGCTAGTTACCTTCTTGACTTGCACGAGAAAAGAGGCAGATTCAATATGGCGGCGACGTCGCATGGCATCATGGGTGGGCGCCAAGAAGCGCATTATTGTGCGATAAAACGCTTAGCGAATTGGCCTGCCGGCAAAGGGAAATATGCAAATGTAGTTGCTATTTGGGTAAGTATTCTCTCGTAGACTCGTCCCACACGACTGGGGGGGGGGGGGGCGGGGGGAGTTCGTCCCATCAGGGTGGAGTGTGCCCACTTGGAATATAACACGCTGTTCCAAGGATCGGCGCCGCATGTCCGATGATGTCTTGGCATTCACGCAGACACTCATGTCCTTGGCTTGACCCTCTATCCATGCACCCCATTGACAAAGGGTGTTTACTGGCATGTGGTTGGAATCTTGAATTTTCCTGCAATATTTGTATATGCACAATTGCACATGCCCATAGCTTTGATGAAAAGTAAATGATGCAGTGGTTGAGCATGTCAGAAAGGCAACCTCATTCAAAATTTTCAATTTTTTTAATTTGGAATTTTTTTCGAAATTGTTTTGACCCAGACCAAATTTCATTTTCATGTCCCGCGGCGAAGCGGAAGGGGCATACTGTTTCCGTCTTGTCCTTCCTTGGGTGTGTGTGTGGGTGGGCGTGTTCAGGCATTCAAACCATGGACAAAAAATGCCGGAGGACAAAAGCTATTGCTTAAAAAACAAACAAAGGAATGAGGATTAGGAACAATAGGGGGTCCGCGATTACCGTTGTTTACGAACATGCGTTTGTTATGGTGTAAATCGAGGACACACATGTGCAACATTATCGATGAATTGAGGACAGGAATCAAATCAAGTACGACCTCGATTAGAATCGTGTACAAAACCAATGAGAGCTGATGCAAGCGCAATAACTTGAGAAATACTTTATATATGAACTTCAAATTCGGTTTGTGGATTGCTCTTGGTAGTCCAAAGAAGCCTGTTGCATATGGGGCTGAAAGGTCAAGGAGTCACAGTGGCTAAAACAATGGAAATCTTGTCAGCGCGGTATTAAACTTGAGAAATACTTTACATATGAACTTAAGATTTGGTTTGTGGATTGCTCTTGGTAATCCCAAGAGGCTATTGCATTTAAGGTCAAAGGTCAAGGTCACAGAGGCTAAAACGATAGAAATCTTGTCAGCGCGATAATTTGTGAAATACTTACATATGGTCATGTGGAGAGAAAGGAGGATGTCAACTGGGTCAAGAGGTGTACCAACGTAATTGTGGGTGGGCCCACACCCGTCGGCCGACCGCGCAAGACTTGGCAGAGCTCCGTGTCAGATGACATGCGACTGCTTGGAGTCAATGCGAGGGACGCGACGGACAGGGCCAAGTGGAGGAGAGCCATAGGGAGAAAGCAGGCCAACCCAGAACAGACTGGACAACGGCCTTAAAACCGACATGATGATTACATATGAACTTCAAATTTGGTTTGTCGATCATAGCTGTTGGTAATCCTAAGAAAGTTCTTCCCCACAGAATCTATTTCTATTTACTAAAAAATTCTTATGTGATCTTTTATTTCCTGCTATGTACAGCTGTGTTGTTTTATGAATTCAGCTTGTTGGTTGCTACTTGCACTTTCTTTTGAAATCAGCATAGAATTTACATAATATAGTCCTCTCATCAGAGCTTATACGACCATTTTCCAAGCATTATGACACCCTCTCACCATTAATGTACATGTATTACAAGGGATGAAATCTCTTTGTCGTGTTTATGATTGTCACTTCAGCGACCATATTTGGTTGTATTTCAAGTACCACAGCATGGCCACTTTGAAATAGGTAATAGTTCAGAACAAAAAAATGCTCCTCAACACCAACTGTGAAGTCATTGCCTGCTACCCATGTCAATTAACGGTTGTTTCATATTATGTTTTTCCATTTCTTTGCTAAATATATCTAACAGTTTTTCCTATCAATCTCTTTGCTGCACAACAATTCTGCTTATAAGCTTTATTTCTCAATAAACAAGCATGGAATTTACATCATATAGTCCTCTGGGCAGAGCTTTGTACTTAATTACACATGTACCTTTATCCAAAACATTTTTGTACAGGATCTATTCCCATCATTTACTCTTTTAAATCTCATACAATGCCTTCCCAACAGAAAAGCATCACACATATTTATTTCAGTTCTGGGATCATAGGCATAAATCCATAACCTACAGAAAACAATAAGGATGTCAATGAACGTTCCATTTGACCCAGGTATTACAGTTGATGTTCAAAGAGTGGTGTCATGTCATGGGAACAGTCACGGTTGCAGGGCATTTGTGTTTGTAAACATGCCTGACTTGTTTAAATGTTGAATTGCTATTATATCCTATAGGCTATACACTGAAGAACAAAGTAATGCTTCAAATGAGCCAGATATTTTAGGTCAATGCTCTCCCAGCTCAGGAGATTTCAGTGGCCTTTCCAGGCTTCCAGCATGCAACTTTGAAGTTGAAACAAGAGGAAATTGCCAATCGCACAAAACGTTGTAGTGTTTTTCAGTGTTCTTTTACACTGTATTTAAAAAAAAAGTAAAACAAAAATAAATAAAAAAGGATTTCCTTATCAGCTAGGACTGTTGCATGCCTGAACAATACCTGTTTTGGTACTGTTTTACTTTTAATTTATAGTTACACAAAATGCGGACAGGGTATGCAAAAGCTGTTTCTTTTGGACTTTTGGACAACAAACTGGACGCACAAACAAAATTTTTGAAGGGCCAACATGGATTTCTTCTCATCAGCTTTTGTTCTGTCCAAAAAGTACAAAGATCTGCTGGGTTCTTGCATGCTGACTACATTGTTGTTGTAACATCCATGGGGACGGCCATGTTTAAAGTCATGGAAATGCCGATAAACGCGCATAGGATCTGCTGGCGCGTAGTTCAGGCAAGTCGAAAGATCTACCTCTTTTTTGGGGGCTTTTTCTTTCTTTGCTTTTTCGATGAAAAGTGAATTTCGATTTTCAATTATTTACCTTGACCCACTCACCCATTATTTTGAGAAAAAAAATGAAATTTAAAAATATTGAACATTTTGAATGGCCCCAAAGCACACTACAACATCACAAAACTTTTTTCGTGAGTCATTACTGCCCAATGAACTTTGTCTTTTCAAGTGGGGTTGCAGTGTGCATGCTGCATACAGACTTGAGCCCATAAACACAACAAATCCGGGCTTTCGAATAAGCCTGATCACAATTGTAGTCTGCACACCAGCAGTTCAATCAATAGCTGTTTGCAGTGGCCATGCAAGGGCGGATCCAGAACACAATTTTGGAGGGGGCCCAAAAAATTTTGGTCCCCCCAAAAAGTGGGTCACAAAAATTACGGCGTGGGGTTCGGGGCCCGCTTAAGGGCCCCGAAATTTTTTTGGATTCTAGATGCTCTGTGGTGCGATCTGAGGCAATTTCTGACCACTTTAACCAATGTTTTTTGAGGAAAAGATGGTGGTGTACTCATTGCCTGCCTTTATTGCGATGTCACATAAAAAAAAAAAATTGTTTCGTTTTGGGGGGGGCCATGGCCCCCTTTGGCCCCCCCCTGGATCCGCCCTTGTGGCCATGTGACCAAATTGGAAACCACTGAGGATGTGTGTGAGATAGCCCTGATCGCTACCCTGGCCCAGTTGCAGCTGGTGGGCCCTCTATTGATTAAAACAGGGCCGGCCATGTGACCACGCCGCACAATCGTAAAACCCTGAGAACCCCGAGCGTGGTTCATGGATATCGATAAATAAACGACATGAAATAAAGATTTGCTACACACAGTTACACAATTTGAGTGGTTTATTGGCATGGTTTAATAGGTAAGAACAATATGAAATCTGAGTAAAATGATGCTTTGTAACTAAAACAAATGCACCATTAGAATGGGAAAAGTAAATTGTGCCAAATAATGTGTCCATTGCATAGAGAGTAATGGTAGAAGCCATTCATGTACATTCATGTATGTGTAAATGACATGACCGTAAAAAAAAAACCAGGAATTTAACTTGAACTCTTGCTACCTCAAATTTTGTATCCATTCCCTTGAGGTTTGACTTAAGGAGAGTGTACTGTATAAAGCAAAAGTAAACATTCCTCTGGATACATTTTGCTGTCTTTGTAGGTACATGGCAGATTGGACATTGTGGCACTCTCTGCTTGGATTTCCTATGAGAGAAATTCAGGTGCTGACTTCCATTCTGTTTTGTTCATGCTATGAAAAATTCCTTTTTTTCCCAGTGGCAACATTCATCATGCAAGTGTTTATCAGGGCAAGGGAGCATTTTGGTACTCCAAAAAGAATAGTGGGCTACAGAAGTGACTTTGTAAGTACTTTAACATATTTATTGCTCTGGTTCAGACACAATTTTAATATTGCTGAAAACGGTTGTTGATTTCAGTTGAAACTTTGATTTAAATGGTTTTACACTGAACTAAAATCAAATTATGAAATCCCCCATCCCGTTCAAATGTTTCACACTCCCAGTTTTCACCCTGGATGAAAGTCCATATGAACAACAAGACCCAAGTTGAGAAATAGGCATTAAATTGAATAAAAGTTCACTTTCAAGATGGGAAGAATACATTTCTTTCAAAATTCTCAAACCTATTGTGAGAATTTTATAACAAATCTAACAGGGTAAGCAAGGTATGGAATCAAATTTACCAAATTTAGTTAGTCCACATTTTGTTTGCTCTTGGTTATACATCCATAAACCAGTGCCAGCCAGGTAGTCTGGTTCCCTGACCTGACAATTTCCCGACATTTATAAATTGTTCTGGTCTACTTCACTCAACTTACCTGTATAATAATCTACTTATGCATATTTTCCTTTACCGACAGGTAACTATGCTAAGAGTTTGCACAATAGCGCCATAGTGCCCCGCGGCATGCATGCCTTGTGAACGTCCTCTTTTCTCTTAGCGGCAGGTCGGGTAGGACGTGCTTATAATAACGCTTGTATTATTCGTCGTTTTTCTGCTACCCTTTATCACTTAAGAAAAGATTTGATTAAAGAGTTATTAGTAGAGTTATAGTTTCATCTTGTTGTGAGATTATTTATTAGAAATGAGTCATTTGGAGAGGACTGGCCCTGTCACATCTGGGGAATGAAACTTCCCCCGGGACAGACCAAGTTCTTGGGAGTCGCTGCTGGTAGCGCTGAGCCGTTACCGCATCAGCGGTCTCCCGTCCGGCACCTGCAGCCACAGTCGGCAGGCGCTGGCAGTTCTGTTGACTGAAAAGGGGACATGTAACTGTCCCCATCTCCTGCCAGCGAATGCGGAACAACCAAACGGAAGGTGCGGTCTGGCACGGTTTTTTAACAAAACTTAAACTCCTGTGCCAGAACCAAACCTAAGAAGGGTCGACAGGGTGAACATGGCTCTGAAATGGGCTTCACTACACCCTCCGTCCCATCCCCAAACACAGGGCAGCCCGAGGGGAATAGCCTCCACGGTTCAGTGGGCTTGAATCCCCCATGTCCCCCAGCACTGTGGAGAACACCACAGAGTGCCGGGACGGACCTTTGTACGGGCCATTGGACCGCACAGTGCTCACTCAACCCATGGGGCTTGAGGCGCTGCCGGCTGGACATTACATGACTGATGCAGAGCGGGCCATCTGGGGGAACCCCAGACTGCCCGGCTCTATATTATATCCTGCTCTGAGGGACCGCCCCAAGCATCATCCAAATTTTCAACGAATGTACCCGGGGCTGTTCTTCAAAAAGAGAAGGGTAAGAAGAATAAGGCAGGTCGACGATCACGTCATTCTTCGCTCGGAGGACTCGTCAGACCGATCCCACCAGGGCAAACACCGCTGGGGTGAGGACTCGGTCTCCTGAGCCAACTTTATGCAAGCCTTTCAATCAATTTTGGCTTCATTGTGGGTAATATCTGCCAACCGCCAGCTGGGCGCCATCCGTGGCCCGTCTGAAGTGGTGAGCCACGTTCCGATGCCCTCAGTCATTGGTCACAGTTGGGTGGCTCAGGGACAAAGGGACATACCACACATGATTATCCAGCATCCCCGCCTGCACTGAGCTAACACTCGTCTATGTCTATTGTCTCCGAGGCCATTGCCCGACCACTGTCCCGTGGCCCTGGGCAGCCTGCCCCTACAAACATGCCAGACAGCCCCTCGATTACCGGAGTAAACTCGGTCCTTACATTCGAGTGGTTCATCCGAGGACGACGAGGCGGTGACCAACATGCAGCGGCTACCCATTGCAGAAATGGAACTCTGTTTGATGACCCCCCTCCCCCAGCCTGAACATAAATAATTCAAGCTCAGGACGGCTTCCACAACGAGCAACGACAAGGTGTTCCCGATCCTCCCCTTAGATCAGGTGTGTGGATCACATTCACAAGGTTATGTCTCGTGACCAATGGCAATCGTTTCCCAGATGGGAATATGATTATAGGCAATTCCACGGTTTGATGGACATGGCTAAGAAAAAAAGGTAAATTTTTTAACCCAGTTTCACATTTTTATTACAGATTATACATTCAAGTATGTGAAATAAACAAAGAAAACCCAATTTTATCAAACATTTTTTGAGAAATCGTAATTAGAGATATTTCAATCATAACCATATTCCTAGCCTGTATGATTGTCTTAACCTCTGAAACATACATCAATTCACAGCCGTCATCCATCTTTGAATATCAAAAAGTAGCATTTTATACCTTTTTTGGTCAATGTAACGTGAGTAACCAATTTTTTTTTTTATCCGAAGTCACCCAAACTATACCCAAACTGACTTTTGCTTGATAATGTTGCATTTTATTGAAAACTGTTTATTTTAAACCAAAGAACCTCAAGTATTTAAGATACTTTTAAGCATATTTTATGCTGTTTATGGTGCAAACTGGTCTTTAAGACAGCATAATATCATATAACTTTAATTGAATCCCAGTAAATTATTGTTATTGATTTTGTATGTTGAATGTAATAAGGAAGACACATGTACGTTCCTACATTGAAATTAAAAAGTTTATTTGGAACAAAGGTTAAATTTGAATTGGCACTTCACACTAAGCTACGGTATTGGGACCCGGTACAATGGTATACTCTGGAACCCAGTCTCCACGTCATGGTCTCTGACAGTGTGGCCTTTATGGACCCTATAGTCTGTGCTGTAGTGGCATACATCAGTTTTAGCAGACTCTCAGAACATGACAGGTTTGTATCTATCTGTTCTGATGGCTCAGCGTATTTAGTTAAAAAACAACAACTAAATAACAGTTGGACTCAAGAGGAAACAACACATTCCTGATAAAAGATCAGAATGCACTGTAATAGTATCAGAATAATGTCAGATGAAAACCTCTATCTGGGAGTACTTGCCATTGGAGATCCAAAATGCAAATTTAAGTCAGAGTTTTTAGTGGTTCTGATGCCTACATACTAACTATGATAATTTAGTCAAAAAAAAACACATCATGGCATAAAATTCTGAGATGGGTTGGACAAAATGTAACGTGAGTAACCGTAGCGTGAGTAACCATGTTTTTTTTGTGGATTGCAGAATGATAAAAAATTTCAGAAGATTTATTTTACTCTTATTATGTGCAATTCATGGCATGGTATTTTATCCATTGAAAAGAAATTTCCAAAGGTTGCCTGCATGAGGACACTTTGTGATTAAATCATGTTGGCTCTTTATGCATGTCCGAAAATGTAACGTGAGTAGCCGATTTTGTGTGTCTTGTGTATCATACATAACACATTTTTCTGGATGTCATCTCTAGTGCTTAGGTAGGTCTAGGTCTACTCTATCTACCATGGGGTATATCTATATCTACCATGGGGTATATAACAGGTATTAAACCTTTTCAGTAAGGTAATTTCAGCCCAAGGAAACTCAAAAGTACATCAAAAACATAACGTGAGTAACCGTGGAATTGTCCTTATTATCATTTCCCCCTGGTGGATTTCGATAATTTGTTTGCCACACCCGCCCTCTCCGACGCAGCCGAAGACAAGCTGGCAGCAGATGAAAGGGCCACAGCGTCTATACAGATCTCTCCAGATGAGAATCATGGCAAGTTGAGGACGCTCTAAAAAAAAATGGACTCGGCCTCCCGCCATGGCATGCGCTCGGCCTCCTTCCTTCCCTCACTTAGTATTTGGCTTTGGGTTGTGAGGATGACTCGGCAGTTCCGGCGGACATGTTGACCACTGCTTTGCACTGCCTAGGCCTCGGTCTTTGCTCGGTGCTCGATCAGTTTACACGAGTGTCAACTCTGGCGACCTCAACCTGCTGGAGCAACATGCTCGATGCAAAACATTTGAGTCCTTCCCATTAACGAGCAAGGATCTCTTTGCGGTGAAAAAAGATTACGAATAAATCAATCGCGATTACGCACTCAAGTGTGTGCTCACTTGGGAACTCCTCCATTGGTGTATGCGCCACCATGTTACGCTTTCAGCAAGCCATCTCCCAGGCGAGGAGAACGTCACTGCCGACGCCCTCTCCAGGGGGTGGACCCTCCCAACAGAGTGGACGCTTCGCCCGCAGATCGCTCAGTCGCTGTTCCTGCTAATCAACCGACCACATGTCGATCTGCTTGCTGCATGTAACAATCACCATTTACCAGTCTACTGCGCGAGGGTCCCCGACCCCTGCGCATGGCAGGCAGTGCTGGAGAACTCGAGTCCCGATTTTAAAGGACTCGGACTCGGACTTGGACTCAGATGGTGGGGACTTGGACTCGGACTCGAACAATGAGGACTCGACTATCTTGAGGACTCGGCCCGAGTCCGGAAAAAAACACCTATTTTTACCTATAACATTTACCGCAATTTCATTTTACGAAGACGTAGTTTTTAGTTTTCAAGATACTTGTTGGACGGAAATACAAGTCACTCCAAACGCGCCGCCTCGCACGGTATGTAGCTAGCCCAAGGTGACGTGAGTACGGTCCGTATTGTGTGATACGAATACTGTGCCCGGTGTAGGCATGGACGTACAGTGTACCTACGTCCGTGAGTGCCCGTTCGGATTCCTGACAAAGACTCGCTAACGACACTTGATTGAATGGTAGAGAAGAGTCTGATTCATCCATGGAACCAGACTAATGAGACTGTGCTTAACTGGCACGTTCACTGGCCTGGTGGCTTGCGTGACATGATTAATGTTAAATTTCTATATTGTACAGCACTTTTTCAATTTGCACACCCTTGAAACATTCTCATAAATTTATCTGCTAAAATATTGCTTGCGCTAGAATTTAAATGAAAATATTTTTTAACGATGTGTGAATTAGCTACAGCATTCAAGGTTTGGGCACACGCAGCATGTACGCAGCACGCACGTACGCAGCACGCACGTACGCACGGGCACATACTGAGCTGTTGGCGCTTTCCCAAGTAATCAAGTATGGATTTACCAATCACAAGAAGTATTTGTGCCACAAAATGGGTAAGAAGAGACATTATGCAACTGCAAATTTTGCAAAGCCACAATTTCTGAAATTAGTGGAACTACCTCCAGCTTCACCTGTCATCTGCAGCGTGTAAGCTTGAGGAACTTCGTAAATGATGGGACAGATCCAGTTGCGGGGGAGACAAATACTTTCTTCCTTCCCCCCCCCCCCCCCCCAAAGTGTTGAACCATAAACCTATGCATTTGTCCAATTCTGTGAAATGTTTTACTTTTATACCCCCATCAAAATCGATCAATAAAACAGCCAAACAATGTATTTGAAAATGACCGTCCATTTGTGAAATACTTCATACTAATAATAATGAAGGCCTACATCATGTACATGTACATGTGGCAGATATCCCGACTGCCACCGTGCCACATACATGTAGGGAAGAAAGTTTGTTTTTCTGTGTGAGGTATTTTTAGCACAATGTGTAGCCTAGTATGCTAATGTATGGTTTTGCGAAATTTCTTTCTCATTTTACTGACTTAAAAACCTTGATATAGGTCCTCCCGCTGTGTCTGACTGCTTTTATTAATGGGGGTATTAATTAAAGTGAGATATGTTTGGTACTTGTCGACGGTGGATACCGGTATGTCAACCTCTATGTTTTGTTCTTACCCCTCCATGCAAAAAAAAAGGCCCCTACACGTTTATATTTTTTTTGGAGGGGGGGGGGGCGGTTTCCAACTCAAGGCATAGGCCCCCTACAAGCCAAGTGAAAAAAAACTAACAATTAAATAGTTATTTTACTCACCCTATATTATTGGATATATACCACCATGTCACTCATAGTACTCTCCGTATTGGAAAAGCATAATAATTGTCGATGAGAACACAACTTGAGATTCATAAAGGACTCGGAGACAAGGACTCGGACTCGGATACCAAGGACTCGGACTCGGATACCAAGGACTCGGACTCGCATGGGGTACAGCACTGGTGGCAGGCGGATGCACTGGCGATACGGTGGGACAGGCTGCTTGCCTACACCTTCCCCCATCCTCCCTCATCCCTCGGGTACTAACCAAACAGGAACAGGCAACTGCAAGGTCCTCCTCATAGCTCCTTTCTGGCCCCACCAACCGTGGATCCCAAGGCTAACCAGACTCTTGGTTCACTGACCAGTGGTACTTCCGTGGAGAGCAGACATTCTGCTCCAGCCCAGCTTTGGTTTTCTTCACCCGGCTCCGCAGGAACTTCACATGATGTGCTTGGTGCTGTCACACAAGCTGCGGCTATTGCAGCTTGCAGTCGAAGAGCCTTCTGTAGGGGTGATTGCTTATTTCATGGTATACTTATTCGAAAGTAACCTCGCTATGGCCACAACTAAAAATTACCGTTCGGCCATAGCTGCTATTCATAGCGGCTTCCCGGACGGAACTTCAGTATAATTGTATGTAGATATGTGTTATGTCTTTTTTGCCCCACCATACACTTATATTATGTACCGGCGCGCTGTGGTTCAATACGGCACGAACCCCCGTAGCGGAGTCTGTGTCTCGGTTAACATATTGAGGCCACTGAGCAGTTAATGTCATTAACATGCCCACCCGGGGTTACGCCTCTTGTCACGTGCCCCTGTAATTATAAAATGGCATCTCGGCATAGTGCTAGTCTATGCATAAGTAGATTGCTCTACAGGTAAGAGAAAAGAGGACGCTCACAAGGCATATATGCCACGGGATACTATGGGCAGGACACGAGAGGGCGCTATTGTACAAACTCTTAGCGTAAATTATTGCCGGTGTAGGGAAATATGCATAAGTAGATTGCTCTACAGGTAAGTATTCGTTCGTAGACCCCATCCATACTTCTGTGGGGAGATTTCATCCGAGGTAGGATCAGGGAACAAGACTACAAGAACAGCCTTTTTTTTAGGGGGGGGGGGGGGAGGTTTTCCCATCTATGCACACAAAACTTTAAATAGGTCAATGTAACAATAATTGCTATTAAATACTAACCCCCAAATCCATCCATTTCTGAAAATGACAACAAAGCAACATGTAAGTGAAAACTGACAACAAATCTAATATATTTAATTATGTATATGTCCAATACAGTATTATGTACACCTATAAATGTTAACTTAAGGAAACAAGTAATAATTATTATTATCATTATTATCATTATTATTATATTACTAAATATACCATTTATAGGAAGACACATTATCGTAATTTCTTCGATAATAGGGAGACACCGGTCATTAAGGAGACACATAACTGTCTCCCTAATGGCACAGCCCCCCTTTAGAGGCAAAATTTTACCATGGGTTATATATTTGTTGCTTGTGGTCTAAGTAGTAAACATACCGAAATTCATGGAAAAAGGACAAGGGAGTATTGGGTTAGGGCACATTTAAGTTAGAACAATTTTGTGCACAAGTCTATGGGAAAGTCTCCCTAATTACCCATTCCCAGTAATAATTATTGTTATTATTATTAATCAGGAATCAGGATTCCTCAAAAGCACACTAGGCACTGTAGCTTGCAAGCCTGAATAATAATAATAATAATATTAACACATTCTTATATAGTGCATTTCAGGACCGCCAGAGCTCGCAATGCGCTTTACAATTCATAAACAATTAAATATAACTAAGGAAAACAACTATCAAATAAATGTGTCTTAAAGCCCGAGTCCATCATTTGCAGCTATCCAAAAAAGTAACTGGCGTAATTATTGTTGAAAAACATACTGGTTGAAAGATAGTTAGGGGACTAAACTCCCTGTGAAATTATCCTTTCTGGCAACCTCTCATTTTGAAGAAATCAACGAAAGAAGGCATTTCCAACGGTGCGTCTTAAGAAGCACCGTAGGAAAATTTAAATTAGTAGTTTGTTTTGTTATTCGGCGCAGCGCGCACAAGCATTGGAACGACGCACAGGCGCGCGCGGTTGCTATAATTCGTCGGATCAGTGCGCGACATCGCGTAAAGCTGCAATTCAAAACATTCGAAACATGATTTAGCAACTTTTGATTTGAAATTGAGATCCTAGAATGCGGTTTTTCTCGGAATATAAAGCTGAAGCTGAGCTGATAATTCATCAAGTAAGTTGTTCAGCACCCTTCATTAGATTTTGAACACTTTTGTTGCTTCAAACGAACAAAATGCACTAATTACAAATGATGGACTATAGCTTTAAGGCTGGTCTTAAACAATTTCAGAAACCTGTGGAGAGAAGACAATGAGAAGAATTTACAGTTTTAGAGTTGGGAGGAAAAGCCCAGAAGAATTGTCTGGGTAAAACCCACGGAATCAGGCAGGGACTGAAAACCCAATCCACATATTGGCCCAGGCAGGATTCGAACCCGGGTCACAGTGGTGGAAGGCGAGGAAAGTACCGCTATGCCAACCTGACTGTCATAAATTATACCTTAGGGAGAAACCGGACATTAGGGAGACATTTCAATGTGTCCCTAATGAATGTGTCCCAGAATGGACCTGTTGTCATTTTGTTTGCCATTATAAGTCTAACATTTTGACATTGAGGTTTTTCTGTAAAGTTTTGCCACAATTATTTTAAAAGTGAAGAGACGAATGAGAAACATTTCTGTTACTGGATTTGGTAATATTTGGTTTATTGTTAGGAATACTTCTTCGACACATTTATGTTGACCGGGGGAGAGGCTCCACCAAATGACCGCTGCTGCAGGGTCTGTGGGAAAGTAGGACACTTCCTCAAAGACTGCCCTCATCGTAAAGGACATAAAGAAACTGGCAGAAGCAGAGAAAGAGATGAAAATGCGAAGAAAGGAAAGAACAAAGAGATGGACATAAACAAGGCAAAAATGGATCAAGGTAAATATGATAGCAATTTAAGTTATCATTAAAGTAGTGAAGTGAACAAGAGAGGAAACTTTATTACCTAGCAGTAATATCCTTGCTATTTGCTCTTCACTGATTCTTGCATGCTGTTCCTCCTTGATATACCAGGGTGGGGAATAGACAGTTTCATAGCCCCTCTATTATGGTCGTGACTTGAACAGTGATGGAGGTCAAAACCAGGCTGTAATTATTATAATAAGGGAGTATTAGTGTGAGGGAGTAGTTTTAAATGTCTAGTATAAAACTGGGTAGGGGCCTGGTCACCAATCCTCATTATCTCTGACCAGGCTAAGGATGTGACGTTTACATGTTTAAATGTTTAAATGAAAACAAATTCAAATCCATTTAGAAATTTTCACAAACGTTCAAACGGAACTCACATTTTAAAAATGAGACCATGTATTTGGCGCAATCTAGTCTCCAGCTTTATTCGCAAAGAGTCTTCAATGTTTGTAAGTCGTAGATATGTAGTTGATATGTGCGGCGTAGTGCAGCGCTGGAGGAAAACATGCATAACAGTAGGTATCACGGCTGAACGCACTTGATACATCACACCCCGCCGATGATTTCTCTTGAGTTCAAAATTCTTGGGCAAAGAAGATTGGAATGCTACCAGGTATTGCTACCTGTTGACTGACAGTGACACTCTAAGAAATTTCTCAGACTACAAGGGAACGCATTCTCTTGAGCGACATGAGCATGAGATGATGAGAATATGTTTTCATTCTTTAGGCGCTGACAAATTTATGATTTTGTTTAAGAAGTGTTCTTATTCACCAAAGAAATTCTCACTGGCTAGCAGCTAATAGCACGGTCCCAGAAGTAACTCCACCTGGGGCCGCTTATCAACAAAGATATACAATGTATAAGTTTTGAAGGTCGCCTGTTAATCATTGTCTCAAAATTTCTTTCCAGGCAAGAATGTATTTTTATAAGATGCTTTTCTATTTCCCAGCTGGAATAGGGGGAAAATTTAATACAGCACTTGCATTTAATACTTAATGTCAAAATATATTCCGAAATATATCCTAGAGTAGAACAATAAAATTGTCATCCCCTTTTATTTTCCCGGCCTCAGAGACAGATTTACGTCTGGTTCTCTTGATTTTTTTTTAAAGCAAAATGATTTCAAAAACCCTAGCCCGTTAAAGTTTGCACTCCAAGTTAATTCTTAATACGAGTTATGCTCGGTTTTTCTTATTTTTAAATGAATATGATCAAGATTAACAACAGCCCTTGAATAATAACATCAAAATATATTCCGAAATATATTCTAGAGTAGTACATCTACACAAAATAATGTAGGCCATGCATTTTATTTTTTAAATAAACAAACAATAAAACCGTACTATGAAAAAAAGACATCGGGAGCCCTACATTTAATAAACTATTTGGACTTCAGTTTCAGTTTACCACATTTTTCGCATAAAGTTTTCCCGGGTCTCTGAAAAAAAAAATACCCAAATAAAATCTCAGCTCCAAAAAGCCTTTCCAGAGAATGATTGATGATAATATCTCAGCCAATTAAATGAGCCGGTTCCGGGCAAATAAATACACCATTGGTTGCTTTCATGAATAGGAGGTTCCTTTCACCTGATGCTCAACTGGAGTGATTGCCAATAATGTTGGAATTTGAGCCACAGGTGCAAGCCAATTGTCACATTCCAACCTGGTTGCCTAGAAATAATGTTGCTAGGGAGGCTCCCCTGTGATGTCCGGGACTGCCAGTTGCGTTGCCAGAAATCTTGTACTGGCGACAGAGGTTGACTATTTTTCTCGCTGCCTGTAGACAACTAGTAGCTCAAGAATGCTGCCGCTTTCGGGAAATTTGTGAAGGCAACGTTTTTCATTTTGGATGCAGTTTCCACTTTCCATTTCTGTGAAATAAAAGGTGTTTTTGCTTTTAAAGAAAATCGGAGCTAAACAAAATACAAATAAACGATCTTCCTCAGGCTTTGACATTTCTTGAAGTGACAATTGATTTAAAAACACTTCCAGACAATTCATTTCTTCTTTTTATTTAGCCTACAGACTTAAAAGTAACATAGAAAAAATTGCAGTGTTGTTGACTCGAGTCTTTGCTAAACGTTTATCAAATTAACGTAGATTCACATCCTTAGACCAGGCCCCTTGACAAAATGACAAAATTCTGACAATGTTTTGTTGAAGATTCTACGTATTGCTATCCATGTTCGAGGGTCATTTTTATGAATGGAGCGTGCGATTTTCGTTCTTTCACCTGCCCCCCCCCCCAAAAAAAAATCAAAGAAGCAACTTTTGGATTTGTTAAACAGTAAAGTTCCTTAGTTTGTTACCTTTATTATCAGGCATACTTTTTACCAAGAAAAGGTATAACAATAGAAATAACCAAATCTTTTGACACTTTCACTGATCCAGTACGTAGCAATTTTGTGAACAATTTCATTAAACCATAGAGCAGGGAAACAGACATTGTACAGTATTGCAAAAAAGTGTTTTGCGACCAATGTTATCTTGCCGGGAAAAAAAAACGGCCAGTCTATGTTGCATGTACGAACATGTACATAGGTATAGCATGTAGCTGCTTCGCGTGATGCACATGTACGTATAGAGTTATGCACAGCATAACTGTATTATGTTTGTGCAAGTGCATGTGTAAACACTGGCAATCATGGACCTAGGACAAAAGGGTGAAATCACGTGACCCTTGCTTCCGGTCGAAAAAGACCAAAACCGGAAGTGGCTTATTATTTAAAAGTGGTAATAGATATGAATTTGCATAAAGTTAGCATAAGCATAGTCCCTATAGCAAAGATGTGTCCCGAAGATTGACGTCATGGTGACGTCATCGACTAATTTATTATAGATTTTTGAATATTTAATTTTTCCCATAGACTTTGTACACAGAAATTTTAAAAAAATTGTCGATTTGCAAAGGGCATTTTTGACTCTTTGCCGGTAATTCATTTACACCAATCTTTGTCCAAGCAAAGACCCTAATTTAAACAACATTGTGTAATGATGACGTCATGATGACGTCATCAGGTGTGTATTTATAGGCAATTAAATTGTGACACTTTTAATATTCAAAAATGCATAAGAAATCAACCGTACGCGTCCGCAGCATTTTGTTGCCGGCAAGTGATAAAATAGGTTGATGTCTTTATTTCATTCAGTGTGCGTGAAATCACGTGACCCTTGCTTCCGGTCGAAAAAGGCCAAAATCGGAAGTGGCTTATCATTTGAAAGTGGTAATAGATATAAACTTGCTTTTAACGGTGTTAGTCTCTTGGCCAATAGTATTCTTCAAATCATCTACCGATGACGTCATGCAATCTTCGAGCGCCCTCTAGCGACAGGTTGAAAATTAGCAAAAATGTATTTTGAATAGATGTCTGTGGCGAAGTTTGTCGGAATCGCCTAAATATTGGTGTATATGATGACCTTGACCCACTTCAGACGTGTGCGAAGTTTTAGGCAAATGACGTCATCAGACCGGAAGTTACAATAAAAAGACCCTTTTTCATTTGAAAATTCCTGAAAAATCAACCATGGCAGTTTTTATATTTGTTTTTACTTTAATTGTCGATTGAAGGGTAGGTCTAAAACATTTCAAAGTTTCGAGGCGATAAGCAAACTCGAACATACCCTGCGCACGCTTAAAACTTCACGTTGACAATGCCTCTGCTTCAAAACATGCACAGGACAGGACGTCCACAATGTACATGTACATGTAAATGCACGTACGTTGTACATAGGCACATACATCGTCTGTCAGCCTGCAGCGCACGTGTTGCTGAGGTCAAATCCTGTCCACAGTGACCGTTTTAGCCGATTTTCGGCTAACTTTGACAGATTTTATGTTCATGCATGCGCATAGACAGGGACGTATTATAGCACTCTTGGCATTAATCTTTTTCAGATATCATTGAAAGTTGGCATAAGCATAGTCCCTATAGCCAAGACGTGTCCCGAAGAGTGACGTCATGGTGACGTCATCAAGTGATTTATTATGGATTTATGAATAATTAATTTTTCTCATAGACTTTGTACACAGCTTTCTCCACAAGTCTTTCCCTATACAACACTGATATATCTTACTGAGTAGTTCTGAACTTCGGCTGAGAATTACTATGAGAAGGAAAAAGGAATCGTATTTTTTTACGCCTTTCATTTGATTGAAAATATTCCCAAGAGTTAGAATAGCAAGTAATATTTTATAAAAATGTTTCAGTTTAAAGGAAAATCATGCATTTAAAGGTGCAGTTTTTCTGCTGTGGGATTTTTAACCTATTGACTTTGTACACGTTTTCAAGCCACCATTTTCATATTTTGGCGATCTGGAATCGTCATCAAAGTAACAGCCAAGGAAGACCCTCATACAAAAATTATGCCAAGACTATGACATCATGATGACGTCATCATCAAGTGATTTATTATGGATTCATGAATAATTAATTTTTCTCATAGACTTTGTACACAGCTTTCTCCACAAGTCTTTTCCTATACAACACTGACATATGTTACTGAGTAGTTCTGAACTTCGGCCGAGAATTACTATCAGAAGGAAAAAGAAATCGTATTTTTTTACGTTTGCCATTTGATTGAAAATATTCCCAAGAGTCAGAATATCAAGTAATATTTTATAAAAATGTTTCAGTTTAAAGGCAAATCACGTATTTAAAGGTGCAGTTTCTCTGCTGTTGGATTTTTAACCCATTGACTTTGTACACGTTTTCAAGCCACCATTTTTATAACTTGGCGATCTGGAATCGTCATCAAAGTTACAGCCAAGGAAGACCCTCATACAAAAATTATGCCAAGACTATGACGTCACGATGACGTCATCACCTAATTTTTTTATTGATTTTTGAAAATTTACCTACATATTGTGAAGTCTTATATCTACAGAAATGTAAGTCCGATTGGGTTGAAACTTGGTTTGTGGCTATACCAGGATGTGTTATAGATTAAAAATGAGGTGACGTCATGAT